ACCTACTGGAGACAAATGCATGGATAAGAATCTCCAAGTCTGCTTTAGACACTATGTTTTTGATCCTGGCAATGTTTTTTAGATGGTAAAAAGCTGCTGATGTTACTGATTTGATGTGGCTAATAAATTTTAAGTCTGAGTCCAGTATTACCCCTAGATTTCTGACCTTGTTTGAAGGTTTTAGGGAGAGAGACTGTAGGTGACAGATGACGCTCTCTCTATGTTTCTGGGGACCAAAGACAATCATTTCAGTTTTGTCTGCGTTTAGCTGAAGGAAGTTGTTTTGCATCCACTCACTGATCTGTTGGATACAGTGAAGGAGTGAGTCCACTGGTCCATGTTCTCCTGCCATGTATATTGCGTCGATCTTAGGAAAACAGAAAAGCAGCTCCAGTTTTGACCCCAGATTTGGAGAATGCAAAAATTCTTCGAAATTATAGAGAAAAATATAATCTCCAATTAAAGATCAGGCCTTTATGTTTTATAGTTACTCTTAGTCAGAGTTGGGGAGTAACAGAATGCACGTAACTGTATTCCATCACAGTTACTACATTAAAGTCTAGTGTTTAGATTACAGTTACTTTCAGAAAATCACAGGAATACTACTTCCTCATATTACGTTTTAGGTAAAAAAATAATTGGGTATTTCTTAACCTGAAGATTCAGTTTTTCTGGTTAAAAGCAGATGTTGAAGAACTTCACAAAAGTAAACAATAACTTTTTGTGAGTAAATGTTTTATTTATTGAAACGTTTATTGAGGCTGTGGTTGGATTTTTTTATAATGTACCTTTATACGTTAAAATAGTAGTGTGTAAAAATGTGGCCAAAAGTGGTACTGCAGCCCCTCCCACTCTCCCTGACTCAGGTTGCCAGATATGCTGGGACCATAACAACTGAATAGACAAGAGTTTTGTCAACAACAAATCTATAACCAACACCTTTTTCACAAAGATAGAAATCCTGATGACAGATTAGGGCCTTTTCATGATGATTTGACATGAAAATCTTACATTTGCAATATTTGGAATACAGGTACTACTTTTTTCTTATCTCCAAAGTAACGAAACAGTCTTCAAAATACATTTTAGGTCATGAACTGCTGTTTGTCTAAAGTACAGCAGGCTGAGACTTTACCATGAGATCATTCCAGATGTACCAAACCCATGACCTCTTCTGTCCAAAGTAGCCTCTTTTACGTTCCTTCTTTGCGCTGCTACATATATTCGAAGCCTCTTTCAATGGAATGTGCTGGAGCAGATGTTATCTTCTCTCAACCACCATCTGAGTGTAATTTAAGATCCACGAATGCGCACATAAAACTCCATCCTTGCATCCCTGGAGATGTTAAAACCCACTGGAGAGAGGCATCTGCTCTGAGGCACCGTGCAGGCCGCCTCCCACTCCACATCACACCGTGTTCTCGCTCCACACACTTGGGAACGCGCGCACTGGACTTTTGGAGAGACCTTCCCTCCGGTTTGGATGAGAGAAGAGGCACGTTATGCGGCGAATGCACACGTTGACATGCCCTTTGAAGGGATAGACGCCGTTCTCGAAGTTTGGCAGTGACCAGAAACTTTGGGGAGGATGTCTGCAGCTCAGGGACTCCTCAACAGCGTCTTCTCCTGCTCGTCACCTGCGTCCAAAGCCATTTCCAAGCGGAGACTGCGCCAGACGCGGAGTTTAGACCCTGCCATAATCCGACACTGTGGCTCAGACGGACACGGGGCTTTGGACACCGGTGCGCCTCTGCCCAAACCACCTTTACGCATCAGGACGCAGAAAGAGCCCATCACCCCGTCGGTCTCCACGCCGTCCATCCCGTTAGACATCTCTCCTTCGTCCAACTTCCACTTCGATTACGACTCGGTGAAGCGCGCCAAGCGGAATACGGCGGGGGATTTGCCCTTTCTGGTGAGGGGGCCCCAGGTTCCGGCCTCTGCCAGCACCGGGGCGCTTTTCTCACCGCGGAGATGGCTGCAGAAGAAGGCACCACCGTCCAGCCCTCACGCGTTTGTGGTGTGGAAGTCTGAGGTAACTTTTTACACCACTTTCATTTCTCCTCTTGGCTGCTGCGTAATGCGTAATGGTTCTAAACACACGATGAAGCGATGGGGTAAGTGGATTGTAGATTTTGTGTGTGGCATTTTTGACATTGTCATTCAACTGAGGGGTTTTATCCACCCTTTTCCATAGTGTACTGTGATTATTTCTGATTGCAATGCCTTGTGTGATTGTTTATATATTGGATTGATTATTATTCGTTATTGTCTACATTCTGTAAAGCAGCCTAACTCAAAGACAACATGACAGAAGTTCCTGATGTGTGCTGGGATGTTGAATGGCCCAGAGAGGATTTACAGCTGGCTGCTCTCCAGTACCACATGCTTTTGTCCTTGTGTTGACATCCACTTCAAGCCTGTGTCTTGCTCCAAGGCACATAGGCATTCTCTTAAAGACTCCACCACTGCTGCTGCTGCTGAATGGTTCTGGTTTTGAGTTTCTTTAACCTCTCTCTTGGGAAGCCGTGCGTATTTCATTTATAATCCAAAGCTTGTCCTCAAATGAAGTGGGTGTTTGAAATCCCTAACCAAAACATACTTGCTGGACTTATTTTTAGCATTAGGGGCTGCTTTATAGGCTGCATACTTGGCTCGAGTCCATGAGCACTGATGGAAAGGTATGATAATTTTTCTTTTGTAGATTTGAAAGCCTATATGCCTTTAGCTTTCCCTATGCACTGTTCAAAATTAATGTTTCTGAGGGACATGTGGCTTCAAAATGAGTTCTCACGGCTTGGAGCGGTCGAAGGGTCAAAGGCACACACTCCCCCGACATTTCCAAGTGCAAAGAACATCCAACTCCATCCATTCTGCTTTCCGGTTTTTCTTAATGGTTCAAATCTATGTCTTTTCCCACAAAATCCACCCAACGCAAAACCAAACTGCAAACACTTAGAAAATATGAGGTAATAAAGCTTGAATCCAATGGTTTTTACGAAGCCATTTAGTGCTATTTAAAGAACTGTATCTTTATTTCCTCATTCCAAGGGAGACATTTCTGTATCTTTTTTCAAGATCATTTTGTTTTGTCCCATTGGAAATTCTTGTTTTAAAGGAGCAGTGTGTAAAAATCTGGCCAAAGGTGGTACTGCAGCCTCTCCCACTCTCCCTGACTCAGGTTGCCAGATATGCAGACGAATCCAGCTGGGACTAGGGTTGGGCGATATTTTTTTTGTACCGGTATACCGGTATAAGTAAATTAAATGATAAGAAAATGCCTTATACCGGTGAAAACGATCATTTAACACTGAAAACAGCAAGCGGAAGACACGTTTGTGTGCGGCGCACTTTAATGACGCATCTGCGCGGCACGTGTAGCAGAGCGGCGTGCAGGGACAACAACAACAGAGCAGAGAGCAAACATGGCTGAGGGCGGCGGTGAAGACCATGGTGAAGACATGCAGATTGTAGAAGACATTGTGCCAAAACGCGGAGCTACCTCAAACATATGGGAGTAGTTTGGGAACTAGATAAAAAGAAGCAGTTGTGTGTAACTATCGACAGTGGATCTAATGTTGTGAAAGCAGCTGCCCTAAACAACTGGACTCGAGTGGCTTGCTTCGGACACTCGCTCTCTCTCTCTCTCTCATAGTGCCATTGGTAAGCTTTATTTACTGTTTACTGTCATTCATTTTACTTCAATGCATGTGTTTGTCTACATTGCAATATAATTACAAATAAGTTATAATTACATAATTATAGAAACGCAAAAGGATACAAAAAATATATACAGTATTTGATCGTTTTGACTATATTGGGATTAGGAAACCTAAGCCAAAGTGATCAAATAATTATTTGATAATGCTACACTTTTTATATTACAAAGGACAAACTTTTATATATTTTACAAATTACAAATGTTCACCTTTATTACATGTTGCCTGCAATTTTCAGTATGTACAAAACAGAATTCTCTACAATTCAGTTTTGTTAATACGTTTTATATACAATAGCTGTATTACACATTTTGCTGCCAATAAATCAGTAAATGCACTTTGAGGCAAGTGTGTTTAAAATTATCAGTGCTAAGTTTTTATAGCTTTTATATGAGGCTTTGTTAAAATTATCATATCGTCATATCGTGATACATACCAACAAAAATCGTGATACATGCTGAGGCCCATATTGCCCAACCCTAGCTGGGACCATAACAGCTGAATAGACAAGAGCTTTGTCAACAACAAATCTATAACCAACACCTTTTTCACAAAGATAGAAATCCTGGTTTTATTCCATGTTTTGTCGTTAATGATTTGAGAATCATAACGAGACCTTTTTTAGTTCTGTGGCCACATGGTACTTTACCAGTGAGATTAGCTTCATGCGTTGAGTTCTGGCAACCGGGATCACGGACTTTCTGATTGGTGAAACGGTGGAGGGCGGGACATCAAAATGAAAACAATAACAAGATTTAGGGGCTGTGAAACTAATTTAGAAATTCAAATATCTCTGAACTACTGTTATCAGTTAAAGAAGTATTGGAAAAGAGCAGTTTATTATTATGACAGATTAGGGCCCTTTAATGATGACTTGACATGAAAATCTTACATATTTCTGCTTTAAGGCTCAGTCAGAATGTGCTCAGATTAAAACACTTATATTTTGTCACATTTTGCAGTGTATGAAGTCATTACCAAAATCATGACCATGGAGTTATTGCACCTTTGTGTGTGTGTGTGTGTGTGTGTGTGGTGTGCACGTGTGTGTTTTTATGACTGGAATGTTAATAGTGGACTGGGATCTTTAAATTCGCTGGATGCGATGGTAAAATTAGCTGTAAATGTGTACGTCTCATGCCAAGAATGTACACGTGGACTTAAATCCACAGAAAGTTACATTAAGAACATAACAGGACTTGTTGCTAAGTTAAGGCGATGAAATAAGTCAAAATGAGCTGTCGACTTCTTCATTTAGTGCTTTATGTAAGGTAAAGTATGTTCCAAATGTCCAAGAATAATAGGTTTTGCACAATCGCTTACGAATGTCTGAACTTGGGCACATTTCCACCAAGATATATATGTGTTCAGGTTGATTTGAAGTTTGCTATGCTGCTGTACAAGTATGTTTCCGTGGGCTGTAAAAACACAGCCGCAATTTTTTAACACTTTCCCTTTATTCCTGCGTCAAACGTACAGACAGGGTCGACATTAAACTAACACTCCATTGTACAAGATTCGTTTTTTCATAGTTTGGAAAGGTCGGACCTGGGCGTCAGAAACGACAAGAGCTTGAAAAATGTAAACACTGACTCCTGTTTTTGATAACACAATTCATTTTGTAATGATAATAATAATAATCGTGTTGTGTCCCCAGAGGTCTCCCATCACACTGTTAACCAGGCACAACCCTGCTTAGCTCAGGCACAGTCACAAAAGTGTCTCAACATTTTGTCATCAACAAAATTCTATGATAATGTTCATGTTCAACTATTCATGGTCTGATCCCGTCTTTCGCCTGTCTGCACTGCAAAAAATAATAACATATGAGCTAATAATGAGTCATCAGATCTGTTTATTTCCTAATTATTTTTAAAACATAATCATTTTAATTAGTCCCATTGGAAAATCTTGTGTTAATTCAGACAAAATGTGGTCAAATTAAGAAACATTTTGCCAAATTTGTGCAATTTTTGACTTATTTTTCATTGCTCTTTGCAGTGTGTTGCCATGGAGACGCCATTTCTTACCCCTATATTTACCTAAAAAATAGTATTAAAGGTATTTGATATTTATTTACAAGTGTTTTCACGGCTCACAGTCAGTCACAGCGATTAAAACTTTTGAACGACATGTTTTCGTAGATTCCAGGCAATTCGAAATTTCCCCACTGTGGGACGAATAAAGGAATTCTTATCTTATCTTAAAAAATATTACATTTAGTTCGACAAAGTGACGTAAAGCAATATTAGAAATATTCAAAGTGAAACCAGTTTTTCCTTGAATCTTTGACTTCTTCTGTCGTCGGGAACTGTGCAGAGCTGAGACTGAGACTGTAGTGGAACATTAACAGTCGCAGTAAATCTGAAGTTTTCTTCCATTTGTTTTGGAAACTATCGCAAACCTTCAGTCAACAAAACTCTTTTTACTGCTTCATACACAGAGGTCAGAGAGAGGAGAGAGGGGGAAGGGGGAGAGGAGAGAGAGAGAGAGAGAGAGAGAGAGGAGCAGAGAGAGAGGGAGAGAGAGAGAGGGGGAGGAGAGGGAGAGAGAGGGGGGGGAGGAGAGAGGGGAGCGAGAGAGGGGGGAGCGATGCGAGGGGGAGGGGAGAGAGGGGAGAGGGGGGGGGGGAGGGAGGGGAGAGAAGGGGGGGGAGGAGAGGGAGAGAGGCGGGAGGGGGGGGGGGGGGGAGACAGAGAGAGAGAGAGGGGGGGGAGGAGAGAGACAGAGAGACGAGGGGAGAGAGAGAGAGGGGGGGGAGGGAGAGGGGGGAGAGAGAGACAGAGAGAGAGGGGGAGAGAAGAGGGGGGAGGGAGAGGGGGAAGGGGCGAGGGCGAGAGGGCAAGAGGGAGTGGGGAGAGAGAGGGGGGGAGAGAGGGAGAGAGGGAGAAGAGAGGAGGGTGAGGAGGCAGGAGAGAGAGAAGGAGGGAGAGAGAGACGAGGGGTAGAGGACTTGCGATTAGACCAGAGAGAGCAGACCAGAGAGGGTGACCAGAGAGAGACCAGAGTGAGATCAGAGAAGAGACCAGAGTGAGATCAGAGAGAGGGACCAGAGAGAGTAGACCAGAGATAGACCAGAGTGAGACCAAAGAGAGACCAGAGAAGACCAGAGAGAGACCAGAGAGAGACCAGAGAGAGACGCAGAGAGAGACCAGAGAGAGACCAGAGAGAGACTAGAGAGAGACCAAAGAGAGACCAGAGAGAGACCTGGGAGAGACCAGAGAGAGATAAGACCAGAGAGAGACCAGAGAGAGCAGAGAAAAACCAGAAGAGAGCGAGGGACCAGAGACCAGAGAGGGACCAGAGAGAGAGAGAGACCAGAGTGAGGGACCAGAGAGAGAGACAGAGATAGACCAGAGAAAGACCAGAGAGAGATCAGAGAAGAGAACCAGAGAGAGACCAGAAGAGACCAGAGAGAGATCAGAGAAAGAGACCAGAGAGAGAGACCAGAGAGAGAGACCAGAGAGCGACCAGAGAGAGAGACCAGAGTCTGAGAGACCAGAGAAAGACCAAGAAAAGACCAGAGAGAGACCAGAGAAAGAAACCAGAGAGAGACGCAGAAAGAGGACCAGAGAGAGATCAGAGAAAGAGACCAGAGAGAGATCAGAGAAGAGACCAGAGGGGGCGAGAAGAAAGAGACCCGTAGAGAGAGACCAGAGAGTGAACAAAGAGGCGACCAGAGAGAGGACCAGAGAGAGGGACCAGCCAACCAAAGACCAGAGAGCCACTTAGTCTTAGGGTGTATTCCAGACCAGAAAAGTCCTTTGCTCCTCGTGCTTGG